GGGAGCGGGGCAGTGCGGTAGGGGAAGAGGCGGTAGTAGGGGACGGACTCGTCAAAAGTGACGTCCTCGGAGGGCAAGACTCGGCGCGAGGTGGCGTGGTAAAACTGCCAACCAGACGCGTCCGGGACAAAGCCGAGGAAGACGCAGGGAACAGCACGGGAGGAGAGCTTGTCCGCAGACGAATCACGGACAAAAGCTCGAGACCCCCAGACCCGGAAACGCGACGCATCGCCAACCTCCCCTGTCCACAGCAGCGTGGGCGAGGTCTCCGGCAAGGAGACACGGGGCCAGAGGTTGAGCTAATGCGCAGCGTACCGGACCGCAAACGGCCACAGAAAGTGGGGGGCAGCCGCATGGATCATGGAGGTACAGGCGACCTCCATGACCAGGCCAATGCGGCGCTCCGCAACCCCATTCTGGTGTGGAGAAGCCGGAAGCGTGAACGTCTGCTCAATGCCGTGCTCAGCACAGTAGGCTGCCAAGAGGTCGGAGGAGAACTCACCACCTCTGTCAGAGTGCAAGCGCAGGACAGGAAAGTCCGAGTGAAAACGCTTGCTGAGCTGGAGACGGGCTCTGCGGATCCAAGGGATCAAGACATCAGGGACCTCACTCTTGGTGCGCAAGGGGAAGACCGAGGTGTAGCGCGAGTAGTCGTCAACAACTATCAGGAAGTACCTCTCCTGACCCTGACCACGGACGCGGGCTGGGCCCCACACGTCCATGTGGAGTGTCTGCAAGGGAGCAGTCGTCGGGGGGAACGAGGAGGAGTGAGGAGCGGCGCGCTGCCGTCCCTCGACACAGGGGAGACAGGTAGGAGTAGGCGAGGGTGGGAGGGCAGGAAGGACCCTGGGCAGGCCAGAGACAAGGTACCGGGAGTGCATGGCACGAAGCCGTTGCACAGACGGGTGGCCAAGGCGGTGGTGCCAGAGGACAGTCTCGTGTGCCAAAGAGCGACACGAGCAGGGGGCGGACAGCTGACCTGACACGGACGCGGACGCAGTCGCAGCAACCTGAGGGGACTCAGTAGTCAGTGTGTACAGGTCCGACCCCGGCTGCCGAGTGAAGGTAGCCAAGTGACGGCCCGTACGAGCACACGTGCAGTTTGTCACGCGCTCGTAGGCAGGGGTGAACTGGTGAACACCCCCGTCGTGGAGTGCACATCCTGCCACCAAGTTCGTAGAGAACGAGGGGAGGTGGAGACCTGACAGTGTGCCCGACGGGACCGCAGGGCAGGGAAGGACAGTGGAAGAGGTCGCAATGACCGGACCCCCAGAGGGGTCAGCAAGGGAGACAGCAACTGGCCGAGCAAGCGGCTCAAGGGCAGTGCGGTCACGAAAGAAGCAGCGAGAAGCACCTGAGTCCAGTGTGAAGGTGTGCAGTGCGGCAGTCGACGCAGTACCAAGGGGGGGAGACACACGAACACCTAGAGCAGCAGCCTCACCAGCACCTGGGGTAGCCGACACGCGAGTACCTGGAGCGGCAGACGCACTGGCCCTAATGCCCGGGTCGGGCGGCACACACAAGTACTCAGCACCCTCTCCACTAGTAGACATCACATACATGGCAGATAGAATAGCATCAAAGTCTAGAGCATAGATATCAATCCCCTTCTTCAGGAGATCAAGCCAGCGGGGCAGCTCAGTGGCCTGAGGGAACTGAATATGGTAAGTGTGCTCGGCTCGGGGCGCGCGGCTCGGCTCGGGGCGCGCGGCTCGGGTCGCGTGGCTCGGGTCACGGCGGGGACGGGCCGCCCGCTCTCCCTCGTGTGCTGCGGCGGGAACGGGCCGCCCGGGGCCTCTAGGTGGTGGGCACGGGTCGGCGAGGTCGGCACGGGGCCAGTTGGTGTCAGAATATTATCTTATTGTTCTAGCCTGTAGTGGGGTGCTCTATAGCGAGTACAACCCTTCTAGGGTTTGCTATTTGTATCCTCATTCTTGCTAGTTCAATCCTCTTTCTTCTTCTAATTTTGACATGCTATCAGAGCAGGTCGATCCCCTTGGATCGATCCTGTGGGTGGGTTACCACCTCGCTTCCGCTGCTACTTTTTCCTCCCGCCGTGCGCCCCGAGGCGCGCGGCGGTTTTCTGCCCGCCGTGCGCCCCGAGGCGCGCGGCGGTTCATTGCCCGCTGTGCGCCCCGAGGCGCGCGGCGGGCTTCTCCCCTACGTCGCGGCCCCGCCCCGATCGTCGCGGCCCCGCCCCTTGACGCGGCCCCGCTCTACGTCGCGGCCCCGCCCCGGCCCGTCGCCGCTTGTGCGCCTGCCCGGCTCGGCCCCGCCCTTCGTCGCGGCCCCGCCCCGGCTCGTCGCCGCCCGTGCGCCTGCCCGGCTCGGCCCCACCCTACATTCGCGGCCCCGCCCAACGTTGCGGCCCCGCCCTATGTCGCGGCCCCGCCCTACGTCGCGGCCCCGCCCTATGTCGCGGCCCCGCCCCGACCGCCGCGGCCCCGCCCCTCGTCGCGGCCCCGGCCCCGTCCCCCCCCCCCCCCCCCCCCTTTTCTCCCCTCCCCCCCAATTCCCGTCGTCCGTCGAGGCGACCTGAGGGGCGCGCTGTGGGGTGGCAGGTATGGGGGTGGCCGGTGTACTTTCCTCCCTTTGCTCCTCCTCCTCCTTCGTCTCCCACTGCTGCAGCTGTCGCTGAGGGGGGTGGTTGTGTGGGAGACTGGGTTTAGGGTTTTAGGGGGGTGCGTGGGAGTAGAGCTAGTGGTGTAGCAGTGGGTGTGTATCAGGGGGGTGGGACTGTGTGCGGGAGGATGAGCGGAGGTTGCCAGTTTGTCGTCAGCAGCACCTGTAGTCCGGGGCGCTGTCCCGGTAGCCAAGTCGTAGCCAGCTGTGCCAGCCGCCCGTGGGTCCGTTGCCCGTCCGCCGCTATTTGAGCCGCGGGGCCTGTTACTCCTGTAGTCCGGGCGCTGTCCGGTAGCCGCTGTGCCAGTCTGCCTCCTGTTGCCCGTGTGTCTGCAGCTTCAGCCGTCGCCTCCTGTCTCCTCTCCCCTCACTCTCCCTCCTCCTCCTCCTCACTTGCCCGTTGTGACTACCACTAGCTTTGCTTATAATTGTGAACTCTAAACTATTTCTTCTTGAACTTGTGCTCAGAATGTGTGGTGACATTGTGATCCACCCTGAGCTTGTTTTGCTTTGCCTGCTCTGCTGATTACACCCCACTTTGGCTATGGGGGTGTGTCAGAATATTGTCTTATTGTTCTAGCCTGTAGTGGGGTGCTCTATAGCGAGTACAACCCTTCTAGGGTTTGCTATTTGTATCCTCATTCTTGCTAGTTCAATCCTCTTTCTTCTTCTAATTTTGACAGTTGGGGCCCTAGAGGGGCGAGCGCGGGGCCGATCGGGGCCTGAGCGGGGCTAGCGCGGGGCCAAACGGGGCCTTGACGGGGCTAGCAAGGGGCCGACGGGGCCTGAACGGGGCTAGCGCGGGGCCGACGGGGCCTGAAACGGGGCCGACGGGGCCTGAAACGGGGCTAGCGCGGGGCCGACGGGGCCTGAGAGGGGCTAGCGCGGGGCCGACGGGGCCTGAAACGGGGCTAGTGCGGGCCGACGGGGCCTGAGAGGGGCTAGCGCGGGGCCGACGGGGCCTGAAATGGGGCCAACGGGGCCTGAAACGGGGCTAGCGCGGGCCGACGGGGCCTGAGAGGGGCTAGCGCGGGGCCGACGGGGCCTTAAACGGGGCCGACGGGGCCTGAAACGGGGCTAGCGCGGGCCGACGGGGCCTGAGAGGGGCTAGCGCGGGGCCGACGGGGCCTGAAACGGGGCCGACGGGGCCTGAACGGGGCTAGCGCGGGGCCTGAACGGGGCCTTAAAGGGGCCGACGGGGCCTGAACGGGGCCGCTAGGGAGAGCGGGCGTGGGGCCGACGGGGCCTGAACGGGGCTAGCGCGGGGCCGTCAAGAGGGGCCTCTAGGGGCGTGACACGCCGAGGCGCCCTAGGGCACAGGTAGGTAGGTAGGTAGGTAGTTACGTAGTGGTGGGCCCTTAGAAAAATTCGGTCCTAGGAAGGACCTGCTCTATACCATGTTGGAATCACTGAACAGGAATGAATGAACTAGCAGTGAAATGAGTACAAGTACCTAACCCTAGAATTGTGTACCCCCTATAGGCTAACCCACTGTAGCCTAAACTAACACAACATATATAATGTTTGACAAGCTGGCATAAGCCGTCGTACTCTCACAGCCAGGCAAATGTCCGCACAACTTGTGCGCTCCCAATTCACCCTCGAAAGCAAGAATCAGCCAGCGCATAAGTTGTGCGGGGCAGCAATTTGAGGGGTTGAGAAATTTGGCGAGACTTCGTGGCAACATCAGTCCAGCAAATTGAGAAATGCGGAATTTGGATGCGGTGAGAAGCTACTTGGAAGGACTTGCCCGTACATTTCATGCGGAAGCATTAACGCCTGCAGAACAGCGCCATGATGCTCACCCCCTGCACGCAAAATTGCCCTGCACAAATTGGAAACCCTGCACCCGTGGGTTTTTTGCCCTGATGGTGCACCCAAGGTACAGACCCCTTGGAACATCTGCCCTAGTTGCTTCGATACAACCAACAATGTATTCAGCCCACAAAACAAGCATAGCATGCCCAGTGTTGCTCTGTTTCAAGGCTTGATGCAACAAGGACGAAGTGTGTGTACGAAATCGTCTGACAGAGGTTTCCCCATCCGCGCACCCAGGTTCGACACGTAAGCGGTTTCAAGGTGCGCCAAACATAACAAATGCAAAATTCACACGCCACCTGTACATTGCCACAGCCCGGTATAGACACCCCCTCGTCCTCACGATGTGCAGCTTTCACACGTCACATCGCATGGTGGTGGTTACCTGGTAGCACATGGTCTAACACCAGTTTCAGATGCAAGTGCTCAAATGCAATTCGAGTCTCAACATTGTCAATGTGCGCGCCCACTCACGCCGCTGAGACAGTGTCCAGAAGTAGAATAAGAAGCCATGCGTTTCCTCCCGTAACTCAAGTTCTCCTTATTCAGCTCTAACCACTATGCCGGGCCTATACCACCGTACGCAGCTCAGCCTGCCCATCAAGAGGGCAATATGCGAGCACCACGTCGCACACCCCCAGCTGCGCCATGTCGACCTTGCTCGCTGGTGCTTCACTCGGTTCGGAATTCGTCCCGACCGCAACACCATTGGTCGCGTACTCAAGGTTGTCGACCGTTGGGTGCGCACCGATGCCGCCGCTGACAACATCCGCGTCCGCGGCGGAGCTTACCCGGTGCTCGAGCGCGCCATGGCCCGGTGGATCGCCAATGCGGGACCCGCGGGTGTGCCGCTCACGTTGGCCACTATCCGCGACCACGTCGCAAACATGGCCAGCGCTAATGGTGCCCCGCCCTCCTTTCGCTGCTCCATCGGCTGGGTCCGTCGCGCTTTGCGCCATCAAGGAGTCCGTTGCATGAGCGTGGTCGGCGAAGCCGTGGACCAGGACATGAATGCCGTACGTGTCACGAAGGAGAAGTTGCCGCAGCTATTGATGCATCTCGCCGCGACCCCTAGCAACGCGTTCAACTTCGACGAGACCGCCTTGTTCATCTCTATCCTGTCGCGAAGGACTTATGGGAGCGTTCGCACGGCTGGGAGGAAGATTGCCAAACAGCGCTTGACCGTCGGCTTCCTCGTCAACGCCGACGGGTCACGCCTCTTCAGGCCGTTGATCATTTCAAAGGCGAGGCGGCCACACGACTTCCGCCCCAATTACAGCTCCGAGGAGTACTGCTACTGGCGCCACAACGCGAAGGGGTGGATGACGAGCACGGTGAGTAAAAAATACAACTTAGAACATGCACATGCTGCCGCTGGTTTACTTGAGTAATGTGTTCGAATTTTTGTGCACGTGTTTCTGACTTGTTCTTCTCGCTCCCCGTGCTTCCCTCGCAGTTGTTAACCCACTACGTTGAGTAGCTCGATGCTGCTATATACGCGGAGGGCAGGAAGATCGTGGTGCTGCTCGACAATGCAAGCAGCCACGCACTCAAGACCGAGGGCGCCATGACGGAGGACATGTTCGGGTTCCGCACAGTCGCGCTGGGGGACATACGCCTCGCCTACCTGCCGCCGAACACGACATGCTTCACCCAGCCCCTCGACCAGGGCCTCATCGCCATGGCAAAGGCACGGTACCGCCAGCACTGGCTCCGCGCCTTCACTCAGGCGTGGTCGGCGGACGGCGCCACGTCTGCTGCTGCTTGCTTCAGGCCGAATATGCGAGCGGTGGTGGAGTGGCTTAACGACGCCTGGATGAACATCCCGGTCCGCGCCATCCAGCTCTGCTGGTGATGCACGGGATGTTTGCCGCGCGTGTGGGCCTTGTCTCTCGCAACCACGTCCCCCCCCCCCCCCCCTCCCGGCCGTGACTCACGCCGACACCCCGCCGCCGGAGACCCCTCGTCGCCGCGGTAGGGTGCTTCCGGCGTCGATGCACGTGCCCACCCCCGACTGGGTGGCGCAGACGGCCCGCCGCCAGGAGCTCATTGAGGCCGGTGCACCCGCCGTCATGAGCGGGTACCTGGCTGCCGCAGAGTGGATGCGGCTGTGAGAGGGATGTTTCCTCTCTTGGAGGCTTTGATTGCCTCGTCTAATGCAGTTTGTGTACCCCTTGTGCACATTTGCCATGTCCTGTATCAATGTTGAGGACAATTGTGGGGGGGAGGGGTGGCTTACACGTGGTGCGTTGTTATTGGGCGGTGTTGTCAATGCGATGTTTGTGACAAGGTGGATTGTGGAATGTAATGGTGGGTCTTTGATTTGGGCGAAATTGTAGTAACCTAGCATACAGTTGGGAAACAAACGAGGTCGCCCCACAGTATTTGGGGAAAGGACAAGCGTGTTACAACATGTGCCATTTATAGGCACCTCGATCCCGTGGCGAACCCCAACGAAGTGCGCGAACTGCATAAATCAGTTATAAGCCCAAAGCACAAGAGCACCTTGGGGGAGCGCATCAGGTGTAGTCAAAGGATACACAACCAGGGCAAAATCACCAGTACCGTAAACACACAACAGTCCGAAATTGCACGTCCAAAAGCACAAATCATTTTCTGTTTTTTGTTGGAATTTGGACTCCAAAAGTACCCTGGGCAGAAAATGGATCCCTACAAAAACAATTCAGTAGTTCAACGGGAAAATTTGTTTTTAGATTTTCGCGAATACCCCACCAAAGTGCAGCGGCCTCACTGTCGTTTGAGCACCAAGCGTGAAACAGAACTCTTCAAAGTCCATTTTGCCCCTGGATCACTGTTCTTGACCGATTGGCAACAGTGTTTGGACCGCGGTCCGCAGTGAAAATTCCCACACCAGATTTGTAGGTGCCCCGAACGTACTTGAGGTTCTGGTTTGGATCTGCCTAGCCTCTCGGCGGGTTTAATGCCCTTGTTAGCCACTGCCGAGCCTTTACCAAGCCACGCAATACTTTGATAGGGCTGTGGTCACCCTTGGACTTCAAAGCTATCGAACTATTACGAATAGTAATACTTGAATATTACTGTGCACTCCTCACCGCAGCAAAGAGAAGCACGCAGTATCGCGAATGGACGCGAAGCGTCAGACGGTTGGAATCGACTCGAAGCGTCAGACAGTTGGGACGCATCTGGACCGTCGGAGCAGACAGCATCAGGCAGCTGCAGGCAGGATGGTTTCGGCGGGAACAGTTTCGTAACTGTTCGCGCCGCACGGTTGGGAATGTATTTGAATAAGGGAATGTACCCCTTAGAGTACATGGCTAGCTAGGTCGTTTCATCTCCCCTGTACTCATATTTATATTTGTTGTATTTGCATGTTTTAAATCATCTCAAAGCATTTTACATTCACTCTGCTATTGAGGTCAAGGGCCCACCAACGTCACTTCTCTGCGTGCGAACCTTCCTGAGTAGATCCTAGGCAACGATCAACTTCTGATCGCAGCATGGTATGAGAGCAGCTCAGGAATCCTTCGCACTGCCACTCCCAAAAATTACGACATTCTCACACGCGTGTGAGAATGGCCGGAGGATCTGGTGGTCAGACGAATCTGGCGGATGAAGTGCAGCCCAACCCGGCTGCGACAAGCGAGGAAACGACCGACTCGAAACCAACGAGGTCGGCCGCAGAAGCAGAAGCAACAGAGGGCAAGAGGGGGGAGGGAGAACACCCCTCAAAGACGGGGGTGCGAGGGTCACCACGAGAGGCTCCTACAGCGACTATGCTCTTCTCTATCGCTAGGAGGGCCTTCTCGAGGAGGTCAGCGGAGAGAGTGGTGGGGCAAACAGAGAGGAAGTGGTCCCTGACTACACGGAGAGAGTCAGGGAGACGGGTGACTATGTAGTAGAAGGTGATGTACATGGGGGGGGGGGGTTCTTGGCGCAGAACTCAGCAGGAAGCGCAGCGCGGTAGCGAGTGTCACTAGTGCGGAGGTGCGTAATGAGGTCAGCGACAGTGGGAAAGGCAGCAAGGTCAGGGAAGAGGTACGGTAGCATGAGGCGGCTCAGTGCAGCAGTGGCAGGGGAAGAGTAGCGTGCAACTACAGCGTCGTACAAGCTCTGAGCACTCTTGTACTGGCTAAAGTGTGCACGCTCAGCGGTCGGTAAGTGGCGGCGCACAGCAAGGCGAGCAGCAGCGTCACGTGTGGCCCACTGTGAGCGAACAGTGGCGTCAGCATCAGCAGTAGGGGCAGGGGAGGCACCAGATGTGAGGTCAAACAGGGAGAGGCTGTCTGCCCTATCGCACTGCAGGAAAAGCTGCAGATCATCTACCGAGACCGCAAAGTCCATTGCCCGACCCTCAGCGTCAAAGGTGAGAACGTCAGGGGAAGCCATAACAGCAGGAGGCAGGGCAGTGCAGTGGCAGAGACTGTGCTCTTACCAGGTAGGTGGAGCGATCGGGCTGCTCGGCGGCTCGGCTGTCGAGCGACTCAGCTGCAGGGCGGCTCGGCTGCTGGGCGGCTCGGCTGCTGGGCGGCTCGGCTGTTTTTGCGGGGCAGCTCAGCTGCCGGGCGGCTCGGCTGCTGGGCGGCTCGGCTGCTGGGCGGCTCGGCTGCACGGTGCTGGGCGGCTCGGCTGCACGGTGCTGGGCGGCTCGGCTGTCGGGCGGCTCGGCTGCTGGGCGGCTCGGGAGGTCGGGCGGCTCAGGTGGCCGGCGGTTCGGCTGCTCGGCGTTGCGGGCGCTGGGAGGCGGGGTCGCAGGTGGTGGCGAGGTCGCAGGTGGCGGCGGGCCGCAAGGGTGGGCGGGGCCGCGGTGGCGACGGGGCCGAAGTGGGGCCTAAGTGGGGCCGTAGAGGGGCCGACGGGGCTGAAGTGGGGCCGTAGCGGGGCCGCAGCGGGGCCTAAGCGGGGCCGAAGCGGGGCCGTAGCGGGACCGTAGCGGGGCCGTAGCGGGGCCGTAGCGGGGCCTAAGCGGGGCCGACGGGGCCGTAGCGGGGCCGTAGCGGGCCCGTAGCGGGGCCTAAGCGGGGCCGTAGCGGGGCCGTAGTGGGGCCGTAGCGGGGCCTAAGCGGGGCCGACGGGGCCGTAGCGGGGCCGTAGCGGGGCTGACTGGGCTGACGGGGCCGTAGCGGGGCCGTAGTGGGGCCGTAGCGGGGCCTAAGCGGGGCCGACGGGGCCGTAGCGGGGCCGTAGCGGGGCCGACTGGGCCGACGGGGCCGTAGCGGGGCCATAGTGGGGCCGTAGCGGGGCCTAAGCGGGGCCGTAGCGGGGCCGTAGCGGGGCCGACGGGGCCTAAGCGGGGCCGTAGCGGGGCCGACGGGGCCGACGGGGCCGTAGCGGGGCCGTAGCGGGGCCTAAGCGGGGCCGACGGGGCCGTAGCGGGGCCGTAGCGGGGCCGTAGGGGGGCCTAAGCGGGGCCGACGGGGTCGTAGCGGGGCCGTAGCGGGGCCTAAGCGGGGCCGTAGCGGGGCCGACGGGGCCTAAGCGGGGCCGTAGCGGGGCCGTAGCGGCCTAAGCGAGGCCGTAGAGGGCGGCTCGAGGGGCAGTAAGGGCGGCCAATAGGGGCCACTAAGGCGTCTCGAGGCGCTACCCGGGTTAGGAGCTAAGCGCGCTCCGGGCAGGGAAGGAAAAAAAAAGTTCGTGGTGGGCCCTAGGCAGTATTCCCACTCCGGAACCTGCTCGATACCATGACGAGAAGTGAGAATGGAATGAATGAACTATGAAACAGTTGGGTACAAGTACTAACCCTAATTGGGTTGTACCCCTTATGGGCTACCCCACTGCAGCCTACACAAATGTATAAGCTATAATGTTCTGACACCTTCCGCCGTCCTCGCACAACTGCTTCAGCGACTCACGAGCCTGGAGCAAGGACTCCAAACATTGCGGAATGGCGACGCGGGAACCTCTTCACAACCCACTCAACCGGCGTCAAACGGCCAAAACTCCGCCCCGCAAGGCTCCTCCCTAGATACGAATGGCTCAACCCCCAAGACTCCCTGTCCCAGCGATGAAGCAATTCTCTCTGCGCAATCAAGGTTTTTGAGCATATCAAAAATAAAGACAAGTGTGTGCTTTGACGGCAGAGACTTTTACACCTGGAGCTTCGAGCTGGAGTTGCTGCTGCAAAACGCGCATATTTATCATTATTTCGACGGGAGCTACTCGGGACCTGCTGAGGACACCGACGACGCCAGGACTCGCTATTATAACGAGTCCCTAATGGCGTACGGGATTCTTCTGCGTAACATGTCGCCCGCGGAGCAGCTGAACATTCGTTCATACAAGACATCGGCTGCCCCACCCCTCGACGCTTGGCGCCACCTGAACGGCGTGAATCAGCCCAAGGACTCCGTCTCCTCGAGCCGACTACTCCAGCAACTGCTGGAAACTAAGATGACCTCAGGGGAGAAGGTCAACAGCTACATCAACCGCTATCGGAGCCTTCACGATCAAATCGTGAAGTTGGGAAGCTCGATTTCTGAGGAAATCTTCGTGAACATTGTACTTCAAGGGCTTGGCCCAGAGTGGCGGCCCTTCAAGGCGCTCCTCCGACAGCAGGGGGTCATGTCGGAGGCCGCCCTTTGCGCCGCCCTTCTCGTCGAACAACGGGATATGGATCAACAGCGACCAGCGCCACGACGAGAACGCGAACGGCTCGCCTTCTACGCCGACAACAATGAAGAGCGACGACCGCGGCGCCTCTACTGCAAAATCTGCAGAAACTTCGGGCATTTGGCGGATCGATGTAAGTTCCGATCTCGCCCTCGCCAGACCAATCCGAGCAACTGGTCCGGCCGGCAAGACGCACGAGGCGACGTGCGTCCAGCCCAAGGGTATCAACCCCCACCCGCGCGCAATCTGAACTCAACCGTTCAGCATTAGCAGCAGCAGCCATCAACTGCCTCTACGCGCAACGTCATGAGCAACATGGCCATGACAGGCGAGTCACATCGTCGCCGTGTTCGCTCACCCTCACCTGAGCCAGCACCGCACTCGATCGGCGCGTTCACCAACAACAACCCGTTCAGCCCGCGCCGCGACTTCAACGACGACGACGACCAGGACTAGAACCTCCCAGTCCCGCTGTTTGAAAGTTCCCCGCACATACCAGACATGCGGGTGGCGCCACTTGATTGGC